CACAGCCAAAAGAAGCAGTGAGAAAGTGAACCTTTTTCCAATCCAAAATAGCTGCACGATGCTGGGCCCCAAGCAATAAATTTATACCAGTCGTTCATGCTATTTTGCTGGAAGCATATGTTCCCAAATCTTTCGGTGCATTCCACCAGTCTTTCTCTTGCTGGCTTAAAAGATATCCCAATAAATATATCCCAAAAGTAAATAAAAGACGCTAATTAAATTAATTAAAAGCAAAAAGTAAATTACAAGCCAATTACTGCAAGTCCATTATACACTGCATCTGACATGACCTGACCTGACACATCAAACGGATGCCAGTCCTCAAACGAAACCAAGGAAGAGCGTTCTCTTCACATCTGGTGGGTTGACCGGAGGAAGAAGCTTCTGTCGACATTGACTCCGTGTGGCTTCTAGTATAAACGAACAGAAGCTTCACTGTCACTCCGCTTGGATACGCATTCGACGCGGGCTGGCTTTCGTGTTTAATACGAGTTGGGTAACGTCGTTGCCTTCGCCCTTTAACAGGCGCCGCCTTATATGGCGTCTCCTCTCCTCGGTCATCCACGTCGTCGTGCGCACCAGTTGGATTAGACGCGGTTCATATCTGGCTCGCATGGAGAAGAAGAAGACGGCGGTGGTGGTGGGTTCGCCCAGAGCGAGGTCTTGCACCCGGCCGTGGAGATGGGCCAAGACGCTCTTCTTCCTGGCCACCATGTTGGCCTCCCTCCTCCTCGTCTGCGCTCCGCCGCTCCTCGTCGTCCTGGTCGACCTCCTCCTCCCGCCGGCTCTGCTCTCCAACTCTTCCCTCTCCGCTTCGTCTCTCTGCGAACAGCTCGAGAGCTTCGTCTTCCGATCCTCCTTGGTCGACGTGCCGATCGTTTCCGCAGTCAGATCCTTCCTCATCCTGTGTAAGCACCAGTGGAGGCCCTCTCAGGATCGATCGCCAACGATTTCCATCTCCTGATCGCTGTTACCTGCTGCAGGTGCTTTCCTCGTCTGCGACGGGAGCCGGGGAGTCTACCTGGGGATCACCGTCTTCTGCAGCTCCGCGTCGATGGCGTACGTTCTGCTCAAGGCTTTCAGCATGTCCTCAGTGGCGGGAGCGCCGCGGCCGATCCTCGCGATCGCCGCCGGCGAGGACGCTGCCGTGATCCAAGCGTTGTTCTTGGGATCCTTAGCTCTGGCCATCGCTCACATGGCGGTGGCGTACCGGACCAGCTGCAGGGAGCGGCGCAAGCTGCTCGTCTACAGAATCGATGTCGAAGCGGTATGCTTTCCTTTCCCCATCTCTCGTAAAGTTCTTGATCTATACCGAATTGATCATGCATGCTTTGGGAATTACAGATCATTATAGTATGTGAATTCTCTCAATTGAGGCAATCAGTTCCCACAGTTTCCTTCACCTTCCCCATTTCTTGTCAACCCTCCTCATGTTGACCGTCGGTTCTCATCGATTTAGTCATTCATTTTTCTGACGCTGATTTCCTCGTTGACTGGTCACAGAAGTGATCCGACCAGAACAGAGCTTTCTAGAATGAAGTTATGAACGGCTACCAGCGGAGGAACGTTAACATTTCTTTCTATTTCTAAAATATATATATTTCAATCAAATGAAATATATATATATATATATTATTTATTACGTGTAATTTACCTTCATAAGGGGGTTAGTTAATCCATCAAGTGCGGTTGTTTGAGAGAGATAAGGTCTGAATGAGAAGAGGTCGCTTGTCCTGACTCAAACAGGAAACACAGTCCTTGGCCCTCTCGTATAGCATGGATCTCCATGGCAACAACAAAACTGTGTGGACCACAAATTTTCTGTGAGAGACGAGCGTGTGTCGTGTCTTAGTCCAAACACCAATGTAGTATTTTCATTTTCTGTACATCGCTTAGTGCTGTATGATGACACAACTCTTTATATTGAATTGGCAATTTGGCATCTTAACTAATGCATTCTAAGACCACCTATTTGTCTGAGAAGGTGAGAGCTCAATTCAGATCAACTCTGTGCTTTGCAGGTCAAGGGAAAAGGTGGGCTAATTAAAGGAGACATCAAACTATGAGGATGCTTATGGACATCATATAATTTAGTGCAATTTATGATCCATACATACTTCTACTGAGAAAGACATCCCTTTCGAAGAATAGGGTTTCTTCCATGATAACTCTCTGTATACATACATACATACACATGCTTTTGTGCTTGCATGTGTCTCATATGAAAGCAGCGTGTCAACCTCTGCTTTCTTCTTCTCTTATTTTGAGCTCTCCATGAGTAAATGTACATATTCTCCCATTTATTCTACTCGTTTCTTAAAACAGCATTAAGATTTGATCAACGAAATAAAATGAAAATGAACAGAGGAGAAGCATATTTGCCTGGAAATCTTTTTTATGTTTAATTACCCTCCATTTATCTTGCTTTCTAACAGCACTGTTAATTATTGAATACAAAACCATTGTTTTTTTTATTAAAAATATAAAAGATCATATCATATCATTCCAATCACACTATCACACAATATGAGAACCATATATGTTTATCAAGATATCCATTAATATATTATTATATAAATGATAGATCTAAGTTTGAATTTACTTGTGAACATCATATATATTATTATTACATATACTAAAATTATATTTTATTTATTTAAAAAATATGATGGCCACATAGATAATTATGAGAATATAATTATTAGAAGGCCTTATCTAAGACTTCAGCAGAGGATGAAAATAAATATGAGAACTAAAAGGTATTTTATATAAATAAATATGAATTTGATTTCCTCATGTGTTAGGGATTAGAGCTCAAAACTTCCCTTCATTTTTAAATTATAACAATACATTTATGAACCTTTAATTTTTTTTTATTGACACATGAATTTCTTGAGTGATTTAATTTGATAATCATTAACTTAATGGCAGATTTTATTTCCATATGAGATGCTAAATGTTCTAATTTCTCGTTGTACTGTTTGGATGCTAAATGATTTAACATCAAACTCTCCATACTTATGAGTAAATTAATATGTGAGACGATATTTCATTTTATGATAATATTTATACATTTTCAAATTACTTTTCTTCCTGAGCTTCTTCCTGCTAGGGTGAGAAAAAGTGAAGTAAAAAAATAAAAATTCATAGAATAACAATAAAATAGCATACTAAAAAATTAACATAAAATTTAACCTCATTATATATATATATATATATATATATATATATATATATATATATATTCTTCATTATATGATCAATTATAAGACCTTTCAATTATCCTCACTCAGACATAACTTCTCTTATATATAGTTTTATATAAATCTAAAAGAATTTACATATTCCTCTTACCTTTTCTAGAAACTTTATGGAATACTCTCTTTAGATACTTTAAAGAGAAAACATAGGGCATCCAAAATATTCTTCACTTTTTATTTTTTTAATCAAAGTCTAGATATATATGAGATATTTATATAAGAACTAAAATTTAGAAATTCAAAAATAATTATCAATTCCAAAATCATATTTTTAAAAAATTGTACTTCTTTAAAAGAAAATATTTTTGCTTCATGCTCCAAATTTATCTTTAATAAATCTCTGATCATCAAATTTTTTAAGCTCTAATACCATTTTGCTAGAGATAGAGAAAAATTCAAACTATAAGAAAAATCATAGAGATTAATAACAAAATAACATATCTAAAAGTTGATGTAAGATTTAATGTGATTTGACTATTCACTATTTATATTTATAGAGAAAATTAAAAATTTCACCATGTTTAATTAATTATAAGATACTTGAGTTATCTCACAACTTCGCTTGTTTTAGAAAATTTTATACATTTCTCAAACACTCTTTAGACACCTTAGATAGAAATTAAAGAACACTAAATTATTTTTCATTTCTTATTCCTTCCTCACTGAAATATAGATATATACGAGATATTTATAGAAGAATCGTGTCTTAATTACTAGAGTAATTCTTTCTTTAGTATGGATTCCTCTTCATCCTAGGATTTCTTATGCTTCAAGAATCCCAAAATAATTATTTTCCTAATACTTTTCTTTTTATATTATATATTTATATTTATTTTTTAATTTTATAATTAAATATAAATAATTTATACACTATTAATCTAACATAAACTTGTGATACCGAATAAATATTTATTTACACCTTAATATATTGTATTTGGGGTGATCTTCCGGGGTGATACGATGAAGAAAAACTATTACTTGGTTACTCATAATCTTTAAGCGAGATTGGACATTAGTTGCAATCAATCCAATAACTAAGCATTAGAAGAATAATAAGTCACCAAAATTGTATATTTGTTGAAAGGGGCCAAATCTAACTAAACCAATCCACCAATTACATCTTTTCTTTCAAGAGATGTGATTTGGCCATTGTTTCCACCAAGAACTACTCTTTATTAGTCAATGGTTTTCTACAATTCCAAATCTCCATAAGCATGGATTCCATTCAAGACAGGTCTTCCATCTCTAATGGAATCTATGCTTAAGGCCAAATCTTGATCTGATGAGGGCTTTGCAGACTTGCTTTTGCTTACCATTACTATTCATGTGAAGTTGATTTATGTTTTTGATTGCTATTTCTCATGAATTGTCACACTCATGTCATTTTCTTGCAAGCTCCATGAGCTTTATAATTATCACTATTTCTCTCCTTGATGACAACTAATTAACCACTACCCAAATGTCTCTTTTATTGATCTATATAGAACTCCTAAAAGGAAAAAAAAAATATTATCTCCTTTTTCATCAAAAAAAATAATTGTATAATTGATTATATCATCCTTTCGAATAAGAATGATCAAATGATTATATTTGTGTCGAAATTGAAAATATATTGCAATTAGAATCAGATTTATTAATTTGTTTTGACCATTTCTTCAAGATCAATTTTTTAAAATTAATATTGAAGTTGATCATAATATAATATACAGTAATGGTTTAAAATATTTACTCAAATAACAAATTTATATTAAAATTTATTATAGTGATTCAGAAATTCGGGTATAGTTACTGAAAAATACTATAGCTTTATATTTCTCATATTTAAAGTAATTGAAATCTCATCATATCCTCACTCATCAATCAAAACACAACCTTTTGGCTTACTGCAAAATACATTGATAATTTGTATTATATTATGAAATTGTTGTTTATAAAAAATTCTTTATAAATAAAAAGGATATATATAAATAGCTTTCTTTTTATAAAACAAATCTAATTTTTTTAATTTACTCATTTGATGATTTAAAGAGTGAGTATGAAATTATATAATAAAGCTTTATAGACCATAATTTATATAATTATGATCTACAAAGGCATCATGTCGTGGAAAAGTTGATAATCTATTATAAATAATAATAATAATAATAATAATTTCAGTTTCCGAGGTATGGCTAATTAATAAAGGATTAATGTTCATATTCTTCCTCCTTTTAAGTATGTCCATAATTCCGTCTTTGATCACTCGAATCCCCATGAACGGATATTGGACCGCATTGGCACGAGCCAAACCGGATCAGGCCGATTGGTTTATGCAATGAACCGATTCGATCACGAGTCGCTCGCTTATCGCGGAGCATATCGTATTTGTGATTCAATTGATTCGAGCTGCAGTAAGCCGGACCGGGCCGTCCGCGCCGGTCTGGTTCTGGTTCGTCCGGACCATGAGCGACGCCGGTGTCCAGGTACAGTGGCGGTCCGGCGTGAGCTCCCACCGTCATGGCGGTGGGTGTCCCGGGCGGATGGATCTCACGCCAAGGTTAAGGTTAGGCGGAGGCATCAGGCGTGGAGGATGATGCGACAGGAATGGATAGCTCCAGCTCAACAGATCTGAAGATTCCACCCCCCGTCGAAATGGCCCCACCGTCGGTCGACGTCTCCCTTCCACTGACGCTGCATCCACCTGATAATAAGCTCCTCCCACTCCTCCTCACCCCCGCTAACTACTGTAGTTCTGATACATCCTCCTCACCTTATTAACCTTACACTACTGATGATTGCATCACGCATCACCTCTCGGTTATCATGATTGCGTTCGGCATCTCTGCAAACTTAGAAAGACCAGCAGTTTCTCAAAAGAAGAAGGTGAGCTTTCGAGATATGATGGATGTCTTACTGTATGCGTGTGTGGCTCACACATCTGAACAGATTCCCGACGTACGTGTTGTAGAGCATGCATGGGATGTAGCCCACATAAAATGCCTTCCCTCCATTAGCTTACACTGGCAAAAGACAAGCCACCTCTCCCATCATGTTCAATTATCATAGATATTAGAACTGTGGCCACTCCAAGCTTACACAGCCTCATTCCTGTCCTCACTTACCAAGTTCGCTGGTCATACTAATTAAAAGGTAGTCGAACTAAAGCAGAGGATGGTGTTGACCATGATGATGTTGAAGAGACGAAAGTAAAACGCGTCTAGAGTTAATGTATAAAGAGAGATATATAGAGAGAGAGAGAGAGGATTGCAAGGGGAGGTAATGGTAAGGGCAGAAGACAAGTGTTTAAGATAAAGAAAATGGGGTACGAGGTCGGGCGTGGAAAGAGAAGGACGAAGGAGGAGGACCACCAACAACAAGTAAAATAGTGTGAATGAGAGGGAGGGGAAGGAAAAGGAAGAAGAAATAAGAAGAGTAGAACATAAGAGGAAGATGCGGTCCCAAGCTTTGTCTGGTCCCCATTCCAATGGGCGTTTTAATGGGAATTAGTTGGAAATGGAGGACCACATCCCCTTTGGGTCGGCGCCAGCCCTTGTTTCCGGAATATTTCTCAGGCGCATCTATTCCACCCTCACTCTTCTCTTCTCTCTCTCCATCTACCTCGGTGTCTGACACTAGCTTTGGTGTAGAGTAGGGGATGGAAGAGTGGCAGCTCAGAGACAGACCTGCAAGTCTGTAAGACCCAATCAAAGCATCAGTTCTCATTCAGACGAGAGCAGCAGCCCAACAGAAGCCCATCTGAAAAGTTGTGGCCCCCTGCTGTGGGCGAGACTGGGAGACTGCAAGCGAGAAGGAAAGAAAGAAAGAGAGCTTCCCCCCACTTTGGAGAAGTCGGGATTCGTGCCAATCCGAGATCAGCCACTCTTTCTGGCCAGGAAAAGATGCAATAATTGCAGCCGGTGTTGGGCGTTGCTGCTCTTAAGTCCACATACGCATACGGCAAGCTGAGACAGATAGAAGAGAGAGAGATAAGGTGGGGGAGCTGAGAGAGCATGGCCATGCGGCGGCTGGTAGGGTGTTGAAGGAGAGCAAGGACGGGGACCCTTTATACTTATGCTCTCTGCTTGAGAAGCTGTGATATATGATGGCTTCTTTCTAGTTGTTTCTCTTTCTCTTTGATCTCTTCCCCTTCTTATTCTCTTCTAAAGACGAGTCTACGGAAGGGGAAGATTTGATGCGGAGAGGATTTGCTTTCTTCGGGCTTTGGAAGCGCTCCTGATGCTAATATATAAATATACTCTAAAGGTTTTGACTTGCTTTGGATATCTGAGTACCGCTTCATCCTTCGGCTCTCTCTGCTCCTCCATCTCCGATCCTGGTTTCTCACCGTGGGATGTCATCATGCTCGTCGGAAAAGCCCTCCTCTTCTGCGTCTCTTGGATAACATAAGCGTGACTTGTGCTCTATACAATCGGTAAGATCTGCTCTACTGCAAATATTCGCAGATCAGTATGTTCTTTCTTGTTGTTCTCCTTGATCTCGATCGGCATAGCTATGGTGTAAAGATAAAAGAGCTTTGACTTTCACTGCAGGATCCATTTCTTGACATACGTATAGGTCATCTAAGAAGCAGATTAGGTCAAGTTCTCTTCTGGGGCGGTAGAGGATGGGTGAGTCGCAGCATCACCAGCAAGCCTTGGGTTACACCAATTTTTCCCCCACGGCCGACCCAGTACTGATGCACAGCTTTCAACCAAGCCAGGAGCTCTACAGCTTGCAGGCGGGGATGGAGATGCTCGGAGTACCCTCCAAGCCCCAGCAGAACACCGACTCCTGGAGAGCCTTCTTCCCCGTGGCCGGCAGTTCGTCCAACGCAGCTTCCAGCTTCCCGCAAACGCTGAATGAGAATCTCATGGTTACACCCGAGAGGGTGGGCGTGAGTCAATGGCATCCTCGGAATCGGATGCTCGTGGACGAATCCTCGGCAAGGTTTCTATTCCCATCATGCCAAGGGAATGGGCAGTCCAGTAGCGGATTGTCCTTGTCCTTAAACCATGCTGAAACTTCCAACTCCGGCTACGATCAGCCACCCTTCGATCACCATGGTTTAACCAGTTCTCGAGACACTCAGTTGCTTCAGAAACCTGCAGATCATCATCTCCAAGATGGCAGGTTCTTTCAGTCGTCGACTTCGCAGTCAGCTCTGATCAATCCCTACCAGCAATCGCAGCAACCGCTGAAGAGCACCAAGTACTTGATCCCAGCAAGAGAGCTGCTAAACGAGTTCTGCAGTCTGGAAACTGCAGTCATCGGTTCATCAAAGGACAAGGCCAGCAAAACTAAGCCGTGGGAGGAAGGAGGCACTTCTTCGTCCTCCATCTCATTCAACCAGTCTCTCTACTCTTTAGACATTCATGAGCTCCAGGGAAGGAAGGCCAAGTTGCTGTCCATGCTAGAAGAGGTCAGTAATTTTTCTCTAGTTTGTCATCATCGATCAAGCATTCATGATTGGAGTTCCAACATATGAGCAAGATTGATTTGCCCCACGTTTTGCTGTCTTACACCATACAAGAGGGACTGATTGATTGGTAGATAAGACTGTGCATGAGAGAAAGCCATGTCCCTGTAAGTGTAAAGGAGGAGGAAGAGGAGGAGGAGTGGGGGAATGACTGCCACTTGATCTGGGGGATCCAATTGATTGGTTTGGCAGGCAACTTGTTGAATCTGGATTCAATTATGCGGGACTGCGCAACTACCATTAAAGCGGTGCTGCGCCCCCGCAGGGACAGGTTGATATTTCCGGGAGTTCCATTTACTTTGGGATAACTCTATTCCTTTCCCTTAGGCATCTAGGCCTGCAGGTTCTCCATCCCTGTGTATTTAATGGAACCCACCATATCTCTCCTCTTGACCTTCGACTTGGGAGAAACCCCCTTTTCCATTTAGTTCCTTCCTCGACATATACTAATCATCACATGGTTCTTCGTATGCAGTACCTCACATTCTCACAAGTACCATGCCATTGTATCTATCCCGCAGCCTACACTGCCACAGTTCAGAACAAAATAGAAACGCATACATAACCACTGCGTTATTCCTTCCAACTTTTTAAGTGTTCTCTGATTCGTTCAGCGTGTGGTAATAATAGGTGGACAAGAGGTACCGAAGATACCGAGAGCAAATGAGAGCTGTGGTCTTATCGTTCGAGGCGGTGGCGGGAGAAGGAGCGGCGACGGTGTACTCAGCTCTGGCAGCTAAGGTGATGTCGAGGCACTTCAGGTGTCTGAGGGATGGAATCGTGGGACAGATCGATGCGATAAAGAAGGCGATGGGAGAGAAGGACGCAGTTGCACCGGGTACCTCGAGAGGCGAGACGCCGAGGCTCAAGCTCATCGACCAGTGCATTCGACAGCAGAGGGCGTTTCAGCAGGCCGGGATGATGGAGAGCCACCCCTGGCGGCCGCAGAGGGGCCTTCCTGAGCGCTCGGTGTCGATTCTGCGTGCCTGGCTCTTCGAGCACTTCCTTCATCCGTAACTTTCTCTTTCTCTCTCTCTCCCTCTCCCCTCTTCTGCACTTCTCTTGCACACACTCAAATCACAAAGTCAAAGAAACGTATGCATATATTGCACCCTAACGAGCAATGTCACCTACACATCCCTTTTTTTGAATGGTAATGAAACCACCACAGGCATTGTCAGCGAGAAGGGAGAAAAATAAAAGGATTTTTTGAGGGAAGGAAAGAAGAAAAAGAAGCAAAATCTACCTGTGATTATAATCTGAGTCTTATACATGCAACATTGCTTGACTACAGGTACCCTAGTGATGTTGATAAGCATATATTAGCCCGGCAAACTGGACTCTCCAGGAGTCAGGCATGCAAACCCTAACATCCTTTTCAGAATGATATATGTATGTGCAACTCCTCGATTCTTTTCTGTGGCGATGATCAACATGTTGCTTTTGGTTTCTACCAACAGGTGTCCAATTGGTTCATAAACGCTAGGGTGAGGTTGTGGAAGCCAATGGTGGAGGAGATGTACTTGGAAGAGACGAAGGAGCAGGAGAACCAGACATCGCAAGAAGAGAACTACAACAGCAGTGACAATGTTAATCGTAATCTTATCTATAACTCTTGCCAGGTGGATAATGTGGAAGACCGGAAGCCAGCACCGGGGCAGCTCCTTACAGAACCCGACTCGCTCTCCTGGGTCATCAGCAACTCCGACGGGAGAGAGCGTGCCGGAAGCAAGAGTTCTCAGAATCCAAACGCCAGCGACAACTTTGGTGTGGTAGATCTGGACTTCACCTCCTACAACCAGTGCAGCCGCCCGAGCTTCGGCAGCGGCGTGTCCCTAACGCTTGGCCTGCAGCAACACAACGGCGGAGGCATGGGCCTGTCGTTCTCGCCGCCGGCGCCTCAGCCGTCTCTCCTCTTCTCCAGAGAACAGATGGAGGAGTGCCACCCGAGCCAGCTCCCTATCGTGGATGCCGACGCGCAGAACAGTGCCTACAGGAACCTGGTGGGAGCTCAGTTGCTGCGGCACTTCGCGGGGTAGAATGGTTCTTCGTGGAGGTCAAGGATGAGGATCCGACATGGAAACGGTAGATACGTAGTACAACCGTAGGTCGTCTTGTGCTGTTAATTCTTGCGTCCTTGGTGAATGGCGAGGATATCTGAAGGGTGCGTGCATGGATTGGGGTGGATATATAAGCTGTCAATTTTCTGGAGGGCTGCAGGAATGTTAATTTACTGTACGATGTTGCCATTTGATACGGATTTAAACTAGCTAGGAGTTTTATTTCATCAAATGGTCCTCTATATTTCTAATATACATATATATATATTATTTATCTTCACTTTTTATTTTATTGCAGTACACGATCAAGTTGATAGATTTACCCTTGGATTTTAGTTTATTTTATTAGACAAATGAGAATCTAGCAAGAAATGGGTTTACTGGAAAATACTAAGATTAGTCTTACCTAAAAATATATCTAGATGAGGTAGATTATGTTTGTTGTTTATGGTATCTTATGATGTGCATTTATGCTATAGAATAAGTTGATAGGAACTACAGTGTAATGGAAGATTAAATGGAACCGACAAGATTATTCTTTTCTTCTTGTAGTTGTTTGATCCTTAGTATCACATAAGAGATGAGATATCATGTCATAATCATATTCGGCACCATTTTCTTTTTTGCACTTATTGGACTGTCATCCTATATGAAACATGTTAGTTCTAAGATAATTGGATAGGCCTTGGACCTATATATGTTACCTACAACTCTTCACCCTCCCTCAAAGGAAGACAAAGAATTGGAGAGGGAGTCACATATTACATCAAGAATATATTAACTTATTATTTCTAATTACATGTTATTATTTGGTTCAAAGTTTGGTAATTCCTAAAGAAACCTCTAAGTTTTCTTTTTTTTAATCAAACGTATATTTTTTACTTTATTCTAGTAAAATACTTTTATTCTCTAAAAGATTATATTATCCTTTGTCGATTGTCTCATCATGATTATCTTTTTTATATTTTAAAAATTACCTTCATAATAAATATGATCATTATGTCGACATATGTTATATCATAGTGATGATCCCCATTATAATGGCCCTTGGAATCATCGAGATCTCTCTACCCCAACTTTCTCAACTTGTTCTCGTTTGTGTCTCCATCCAAGTTGATGAGAATTTTTTCTTTTGAAGAATAATAAATATTGTATAGAAGTAAATAAAAAAAAGATGCTCTATAGAAATAAAAAAAGAAACTTAGGATTTTTATTTTGAGAATTTGCCCTTCAAAATCTCATGTTTTAGCTTAGAAAATGATGCACTTTAATAATTCATAAAATGATAAAGTTACAACTTCTAATTTCACATGGAATCTCAGTTAAACTATGAAAACAACCATACAAAAGATAAAAATGAAGTTTAAATTAATATTTTATAAAAAAATATAAATATTTTATATATTCTGTCTTGATGTATCAAATGAATCCCAAAAATAGTACGGTTACATACATTGGTAGAGATGCAATATTCCACATTGTAAGGATAAGTACGAAGACTGCTGTAGTTGGGATAAGAATAGTTGCAATGCAACTGGTGATTCCTGTGTTAATGTCATTCATCTCTTCATGATATCTTCATTCGTAAGTTTTTATAGGTTTTCCTATATAAAATTCTAAACAAAATTTTCAGATTTTATAATTAGACTAATTAAAAAATTCAAGACCAAACCCATCAACTCGACTATTATAATTTACAGTCGAAAAATATTATCTTCTTCACAAATGAGATATTGAATTATAGATTATCACCTTTGAGACTCTAATATCATACAAAAAAAAAAGGGGAGAAATCATATGTAAACAAAACTCTTTCTCAAATAATATTAACAAGGTACTATTATTAATCCAAGATCAAATTAAAAAAAAGAGGAAACTAAGATGAAAAAAAAAATTATAATAGATTTTTTAAAAAGAAAAACACAGACTTTAACCCTAGAAACTTAAACACTTAGATGGATCTACATATATAAATATTATTTATTTATAAATATAGAATAATAATTTAAATTAAGAGATCCTTATCAAATAAATTGTATCTAATTAAATTATTTAAAAATAAAAAATTAAAATTTTAAAAATTAATAACTTAAATCTTACAAACACGAACTTATATTATTTCAACAAAGATAACTACTAAGGTACAATGGAAGATTCAACCTCGTAGAGTTCAATCCCGATTCTTAATCGATGAATAATATGAGTTCGACGCTTCTTTTGTAACTCTTTGAATTTTTTCATACTAATTCTGTTTCATGCCTAATTTCATATGGAATCTAAAAGTGACTCTATTTTATTATATTTTATTTATATCTTAATTTCATTCATTTAATATCCCTGCTGTCATGGACATAACATAGACTTGCCTTGATTTAATGGATGGCAGTGAGGGAGAGAGACATTGCAAAGAGAGGACAGATTGAACTCCAACTTTGTTTGGTGTTAGGGGAGCAATGAGATGTAATTTGGGATCAGAGTTTGAAAAGAGAGAATAAATGAAGATTGCAGGGTGAGGAGAGAGATGTGAAAGCTGATAACAGTACTAATTACTGTGCTTTCCATCATGATTGGTTGAAGCACATGCCCTCCTAAATAAGCCTGGAAGAGAAATGAACCTTACAGCGGTGGTTTCCTTTTGCTACTCTCTCTCCCGTCACAAGTTCTACTGCCTCAAGCTGTGATGCAGCGAACCATTCTAAACATCTATGTAAAAGGTGTTGGATTTGATAAGTATTTTAGGATTTAGGAGTAAATATCTTAGAAACATAAGAAAAATCTAATTTATATCTTCTGTAAAAGTTTTATATGCTTTTAAATTTTGATGAGGTGTTTATGGATTTTTAAAGATGGTGAAACTCTCTAAGATATCTAGAGAGGATAAGACTCTAAAATGGGAAAAAAAAACTATAAATTCTTTCGGATTATATAAAAGAGTATATAAGAATTTAGGACATAAGCATGAAATTATCGAACGGTATTAATCTTATAATATGTTCTTTAATTGTTAATCTTATAATATGTTTTTGTTTTTTTTCATTTCGAGCTCTCCTTCAAATAAAAACAAAGAAATCCAATCCAAAAGTGTTTTTTTTCTCTCTCCATACGTTAACGAAGGCAGGGGCGGCCTCTGCTCGCTGCATTGACACGAGAGCAAAAGGCAACAGCAAAGTATGCAAAGATTGCAAGAGATGCGGCAGGGAACAATGGCTCCAATCATCATTTGCAGCACCACCTTGAGACCAATCTTGCTGGGACAATGGCGGAAATAGGGGCACCAACCACCATTTTGAGCTCCTTCAAGCATTCTCTGACCATCACACACAAGCGATACCAACCTACCTGGCCGTTGACGGATGCACGGTGATGCCTTCATATACGAGTGGCAAAAGCAGAGGATGAAGTAAATGAACCGATGGAAGCAAACCATAATTGCCGCCGGTGAACATCTTGATGCTGCTCAAGTCTTTCTTCTTCTTTATTTACCATAGTAAAGCTTCGTACGCAGAGGAGAGGACAAACGCATGCACTACTTGTGACATACCAATCGATTCAAAGAGAGGCTATCCGAGGGTAAAGGCTACCCTGCACATGGCTCGGTAGCATTCATCCAAAGTTCGTATCACAAACAGGAGACAAACACTGCATGGGTAGATTTGCTGTGATTTAGGAGGATCCTCTAACCAGAATATGGAGTTCTTCTCGTCGATGCTCGCAAAGATGAGCATTCGATGTATGTGTTGCTTGGTTCAGATTGAAGAAGAAAACGAAACGGGAGGTTGCTATCCAAACTGCACTCACTTCCTATACTGCACAACGCAATGCCAGAGATGGACTTGGCTTAGACAGGAAGGATGGGCAATCACATCCGCCAATGGTTGACATCAGATTGAAATGGCAGTAGCCAATGCGCGAATTTGTTGTGCTCCTGATCAGCAAGAATTCTCGCAGGCAGCGGCGGCGGCCGTGATCCTGAGCACCGGCGGCTGTTGATCGGGCTCCCCGTTCCTCCGCCAGAAGGCCCGCCGCCACCACACCTCGAAGCCCCTCTGGATGTTGGGGCAGTCGTCGCCGGCGTTGAGGAACCGGTCGAACCATGCGAGCAGGATCTCCTGCTGCGTGGCCAGCGGCAGCGTGAGAATGGTGTTGGCGAGGCCGTCCTCGATCAGGTGGCGGTCGAGGCCCTTGCATGCCCTCCGCATCCACCCGAAGTCCTCGTAGAATGGCTCCAGCCAGGTTCGCAGCAGCAGGCATCGCGCCTCCTTGGACACCAGAATCTGACCCTTCCCAACCGCGACGAACAGCCGTGCCGTCACCCGGCTCACCTCGTACCGGTGAATGGCCGGCACCCTGGGGTGCATCTCCGAGAGCTCCGCCTGGCACGCCCACGTCCGCAGGAAATCGTCGGCGATCTGCCGGTCGATGAGGATGTCGAGGATCCAGTGGAGGTTGTCCGCCTGCCGCGCGATCTGAGCGGCCTCGATGAGGTCGGACGCGGCGGCGAGGGCGAAGTGGTGGCGGAGCGAGCGGAGGCAGCCATCACAGGCGGAGTAGAGGGACTCCTTGCTGAGGTCTCCGCCCCTGTTGGCGCCCCCACCGCCGCCCATTCCGCCACACTGTGAGGCGGTGTTGTTCTCGCGGAGCATCTTGGAGACCAGGCCCTTCATCTCCCGTCTCGCCTTCTCGTCCTTGCCCTCTAACACCACCTGGATTAGCCGGACGAGGATTTCCTCGCCGCCATTTCCGCCATTGGGCTCCTCGGCGTCGCATGTCGCCATTTCAAGGGACACCCGCTTGAGCACCTCCTCTGCGCCCGAGCTATCCAGGTGGAGCTGAGATAGAAGCGAGGCCACCTTCTCCTCCTCGTCCTCCGCCCAGGGGGCGGCTTCCAAGTACTCGAGGCAAGATAGAACCCCCGCATCAAAAGCGATCGACGCTGAAACCTAAGGAAAATGGCTGAAACCGTGAAATGTAGGAAGCAGCAGCAGCGGCAAAAACAGAGAGGGAGGGTCAAAGGCGGCACCTTTAGAATGCCGAGGACCTTGGAGACGTCCTCCCGCATAAGGCGCCGGCGCAGATCCTTGCAATACATCAGGCGGAGGGTCTCCACGTAGACCTCGACGTCGTCGCAGTCAGAGATCTCCACGATGTGCGGGAGGGAGCGCTGCTGCTTGGACCAACGGTCCGAGAGCTTGGCGGCAAAGAAGCGGCTGTGCGCGACAAGGATG